TGACTCTGGTAGACAATGAAAGTAGATACGGTGAGAAGACAAGTCATGGGATATACTAATGGCAATTTCAATTCCTCTTGACCTTAAAAAGAGCAAGGCTTTCTACTCTACCAGAGAGAGTCCCTTGTTCAAAGGCTAGAGTGAAGGAATGAAGTAATTATCTCAGTAACTTAAAAACAAACAAACTCAATGTCAGTAAATTGCAACTCATAGCAACCCTATAGGGCAGGATCAAACTGCCTCTGTTTGTTTCCAAGACTGTACATCTTTACAGCAGAATACTAGAAAGCTTCATCTTTCTCCTGTGGAGGAACTGGTGGTTTGAAACTGCTGACCTTGTGGTTAACGGCCCAATGCATAAACCAAGGAGGTAGGAGCCAGCAGCATCTAAGTTATTTTAACTTGGATTAGATCATTCTCCTAATATGTCTTAATGCATAATCATATAAATTTCAGTATAATAACCTCACAAAATTATCATAAATGCAAATGCATATACACACACACTCATACAATGGAGTATCAAAGAGTTTGTGGGAAAATGCCATTATCATTCTATTCAATTTTTCATGAACTTTTTGGAGCCCCCTCGTGTGTGTAAATGAGCGCATATGTTTATTTTTGTTGTTGGGTTCCAGTGAGTTGGTTCAGACCCATAGCAACCTTGTGCAAACCAGAATGAAACACTGACAGGTCCTGAACCATCCTGACAATTGACCCTATGCTTGAGCCCATTGCTGAGTCACTGTGTCCACCCATCTTATTGAAGACCTTCCTCTTGTTTGTGGCTCATCTACATGATCAAGTCTGATGTCCCTCTCATGGGACTGGTCTCTCCTGATAACATTTCCAAAGTATGTAAGATAACGTCTCATCATCTTGGTCTCTAAGGAGCATTCTAGTTTTACCTCTTCCAGGACAGATCGGCTTTTCCTGCTAGCAGTTGATGGTGCTTGCAATCTTCTTCTCCAGCACAATTCAAATGAACCGATTCTTCTTTGGTCTGCCTTCTTCATTGTTAACTTTCACATGCATTTGAGGCAATTAAAATGCAATGACTTGGGTCCATTTTTTAGGATTTGGGTCTTCTTTAGACTGAGTTGTAATCTTTGATCTTCATGTGCAAGTGCCTCAAGCCTTTCTCACTTTTAGCAAAGATATTTGTGTCATCTGCATAGTGAAGGCTGTTAATGAGCTTTCCTCCAATCCGGATGCCACATTCTTCCTCTTGTAATGCAGCTCTCTGACGCTTTGCTTAGTATACAAATTGAACAATCCTGGGGAGAGGATACAACGCTGTGGCACATCTCTAGGTACCTCATGATGAATGGAGACACAATTGAAGTTGTCCAGGATTTTGTCTTGCTTGGATCCACAAGCAATGCTCATGGAAACAGCAGTCAAGAGATCAAAAGATGCACTGCATTATGTCCATCTGTTGCACAAGACATCCTTAGAGTATTGAAAAACAAGAATGTTACTTCAAGGAGTAAGGCGTGCTTGAGCAAAGTCATGGTCTTTCAATTGCCCCATAGCCATGTGAAAGTTGGGCATTGAGTACCGAAAATTTAGGAAGAATTGATGCTTTTGAATTGTGGTTCTGGTGAAGAGAAGAATAAGCACCATGGACTGCTAAAGGGTCCACCCTTTCTATCTTGGAAGAAGTCTGGCCACTCCTGAGAGGCAAGGACTAGTGACACTTTGTCTTATATAATTCGAACATGTTGTCAGGAGAGACCAATTCCTGAAAAAGGACATCATGCTTTGTAAAGTTGAGAGGCAGAGAAGAGAGGAAGGCCCTAAGAGATTGATTTGGTGCATAAATTTGATGGTAGCTAGATAAAGATCTACCACAGACAGCATTTTGCTTCATGATTGGTTTTAAAATGCCCTTTCTGAAAATGAACACATTGCTCTTGATTGTGCCGTTCCTGGCATAGTGAACTATATGATCTTCTGATTCAAAATGGCCAATGCCAGTTAATTTCACCTCATGAATGCATAGGATATTGATATTTAAATAAACATCAATTTTATTTTTGACCGCTTCTATTTTTCCTAGATTCAGACTTCATATACTCCAAGTTTCAATGACTAGATTTTTGCAGTTATTTATTTGTACCTGGAGTTGTGCCCCAACGGCAAATGAAGATCCTGACGGCGCCCCTCCCACAGGCTTTATTCTTTCCACGTCACCACGGTCGACTCCATCCTGAGAAAGCATCTCAGTCACATTTTGCATGCCTTCTGGCTGGAGGGGGCCAATCATTTGGTACTATCTCCAACAATATTATTTTTCCATTTATTAGACCTTCAAAATATGACATTGTTTTAAAGCTATGCATGAGATTTTCAGTGGCTACTTCTTCCAAAGTGGACAGCCAATTCCTTCTACATTGTCTGTTCTTAGTCTGAAGCTCCACTGAAAACTATTCCCTTTGGAAGATGTGAGGTCCTTTGAAATACCAGTGTCTTAGCTTCTAGCATCACAGCATCACACAAGCCACCACAGTATACCATACTGACACACAGTGTTTGGTGTATATATTTATGCACGTAAGATTTAATAATTAATCCTTTCTAGCAGTGAAATCTCTACATATGTTAAGGTAATAACTGTTTTGAGAGAGTCTTGTATGTCACCCTTCATAAAACAAAGTTGTGGCCTCACAACTCAGCTGAGCATCAGGATATCCTAGAAAGTTATGTGAAAATACATGCTCAAACATGGATGTGAACATTATGTTAAGTGAAATAAATTAGTCATAGCAGGATATATCTATATATATTATATCTATTATGAGCTCACTAATATTAAGTTAGTAGAATAATCAAGCATTTTGAGAATAGACATTAATAGTCTTTACCAGGGATGAGAGTGAGGGAGAATGGGGGTTGACTGTTTAGGAATCATTGGGTTACTTTTTATGGTGTTAGAAAATATACAGCTATTGGTGATAATTGCACAATTATATAGTATTATAATTGGAATCACTGAATGGTGTACATTAAAAATGATGAATTAGCAAATGTTGTATTATCTGTAATTTTACAATAATAAGTGAAATACAGACATGCACACATACAAACACACATGTACACACACTTCTGAAGACTTAGTAGTTCTGATTCTGCATGAGGTAAGACCTGGGGCCCTCCATATTAGAAAAAAAATGGTGCCTGGATGAGTCTGATATACCTCTTGTTTTAGAAAACAGGGTTTTAATTATATTATACTCTACTCTCATTAGAGATCTACTCATATAGCATGATGATACCCATGTCTAGTCACTTGACTCGTGGATTCCATTTCTTCAGCCTGAGACAGAATCTGTAAGCCTCCATATGGCTAGCATGGTGTTTCCTGATTTGACTTTCAAGCACTTTTAACTTTCACCTCACAACACGTTCCACATGAATACTACTACTCAATTCCCACGTAGAATAATTCACAGAATATTCCATGTTCATTTTTATTTTATACTTTGTCCTTTAAAAATCCACATTTTCTAGTCTACCTGCAAACTCCTATGGAATTTTACCTTAATGACCCTTTGATTGTGACTGCTTTCTGATTTATCTCTCTAAATATTTTAAATTCTGTCTTATTTCTCTCATCAATGTTTTGAGCAATGTCTATCTCTAATAAACCATTGGGTATACTGATCAAGGTTATTTGTTTATATTTTTACAGCTACCTGTCGATGATGACAGACACCAGTGACTGCCACAAACACACTAAATATCTGATAAATGAAGAGTTATTTTAGATAGACATTTTTATTCCTAACTCTGCTTCTAGAGGTCTGTTAGTGGTGCTATGGCAAATAAGTTATCTTTCAAAATGGGGCACTTAAAAAAAAATGCTTTCCTTTGTTTCCTCAAACTTGGACACTGCTTTTCTATTTATTGTATTTCAGTTTGGTGTTTGTGACCTGTAAAATCAATTTAATACATTTGTTCTATTATCAGACCAATTTTTTTTAATACATTTTATATTGGATTTTCTGGAATAATTTAGAGTGAATCACTGGATAAACTATTGATACAGCTGATCGACCAAGCTGTATTCCTCCCTCTAGGCAGAGTTTAGGACTATAATTATGGGGCCTGCTTCTTTTTCTGCTCCTGACTTCTCAGCCGAGCATTGTGTGTAAAGGTCACTTTCAACAGCTTTTCTTTGGTTGCAGTTGGCTTGAATTTGTACTGGCTTACCGAGATTTGCATGGACTCACCAAATGATCACTCAGGGTGGTCAATCCATTAATATAAACCCAGCTTACATTTTACTTTTAAGTATAATTTTAATCTCTGATTGCTGCGAGCTCGTTTCAGAATTATTGTGTGTTCACAAGGGTAGAGAAAGGCAAGCACAAAGAGCTGAGGATTCCTGGACTGAGGGATGAAGCCACATCAGATGAAGGATGTGCTGGGCTCATGCTCCCCATGGCCTTCTTGACATGCAAATTTAAGTTGCAAAGTGCAGCGGGTACTAGAGGGTGGGGTTGAATAAAGGAAAGGTACCTACAATGGCTCTTCCCCGATGCTTGTTCCTTAAGCTTTCTCAGGATTGGCCTCCGGTTCAGAACACAGAGGAAAGAAGACCAGAGACACCAAGAGAAACAGAGGCAGGACCCTACGAAGGACGGCCCTGTTGTGATGATAAACATGGCTTTGAGACACTAATATTGGTGCTAATGCATATGGTGTTTTAACCAATAAACTTCAACCAGGGACCCTTGCTCTTCATTCTTTCACACCTGTCCTTTTCCTTTCAAAAGCAAGACCAGATAGAATAGACAGTGAGATATTTTGTCCTTGATGTTGAATTGTATTGGCACATAATTTACCTTTTTAAAGCAGGTCTACACAGAGACTCAGGTTTGTTCTTTTTAATAAATAGGGGTGTTCTTATTTTCTGTGGACTGTTAGACCTGGTGGCCTTATTATGACTGTTGATATTAAAAATTTCTTCCCATTGCTCAATCTTCTTGCTGCAGGTGAGGCTCCCAGGAAGGTGGTGCCTGCACGGGGTGCACAGCTGCTTGGCTCCCAGATGGCTGCTCTCTTGAGGAAGAGGCTGCTCCATACTCTCCGGGCCTGGAAAGGCACGCTGTCAGACCTGCTGCTCCCTGTCCTCTTTGTGGCCTTGGCCATGGGTTTATTCATGGTGAGACCTTTGGCTGTCAACTACCCTCCCCTCAAATTGGCACCTGGCCATTATGAGAGGGCAGAAACATATTTTTTTAGGTAAGATCATTTTTTTGCCTTCAAAATAATATCAGGAGAGTTTATGAATAGAAGTTACCTTGACACTTTTGAAAATTTTGTGTATTTTAAATTTTCCAAAGGAAAAAATTAAATATAAATGTGATTTTCATTATTTTAGAAGTATGAGTTAATAAAGGAGTATGGATGACCCAATGGCACATTGGGTTATAAGTTGAGCTGATAATTGTCGGGTTAGTGGTTCAAATCCTCAGCCCATCCACAGGAGAAAGACCAGACTATCCTCATAAATATTTACAGTATGGGAAACACTAAGGAGCAGTTCTACTTTTTCCTATGAGTTGTAATTGACTTTATGGCAGTTTTTGTTGTTGTTGTTTTTATCTATTTTCATTTGAGTTACTAAGAATAAGATTACAAGGCTCTACACGTGACCTCCTCCCCGGGGATGGACAACAGAAAAGTGAGTGAAGGGAGACGTCAGACAGGGCAAGTTATGACAAAATAATAATTTATAAATTATCAAGGGTTCATGAGGGAGAGGGGAGTGGGGAGGAAGGGGGAAAATGAGGAGCTGATGCCAAGGGCCTAAGTGGAGAGCAAATGTTTTGAGAAAGATGAGGGCAACTAATGTACAAAAAATGTGCTTTACACAATTGATGTACATATGGATTGTGATAAGAGCTGTATGAGCCCCTAATAAAACGATTAAAAAAAAAAGAATCACCTTTGAGAAGCTTTTGCTGCATTCAGGGTTAGTCTCTTTGGGAGACACCATAGGACAGAAAGTGAAGGGCTTGTCTCCTGTGTGTCTCTGGGCACCCTGGACCTCCTCCAGCCTCAAGACCCCCTGCTCTGTCAGAATGACATTGCCCCATGGGCTGATATGCAAAGGGCCCATTATGTACAAGTCCACAGTAGGAACTGATAGGGTCATAAGTTTTCCAGAATTCATAACTTCTAGTATTTTGTGAAAATATATAAATTGTATGTTTTACAATACCTTCAAAAGATGGTCTTCAGGCAGCAGTTATTCATAAAGACTATGAACGTCTTTATATCAGCTTAGATCAAGTTTTGGCATCAATAAATTCTGACCATCCCAGCTTTTACCACCAAAAGAAGTTCTCAGAGCCTTATGGGTTTTAGGTCCACAGATACATGATTGTGGAACTCAAACAGGAATGCCCTCTCTCCCTGAATTTGACTTTCATCTGATTCCACTTAATTGCTATTTCAAGACACCGAATGCCTACTGTATGGCAGGCATTACCGTAGCTCTGCCTCTCATAGCAGGCACTAGGCACTACTGCTGTGAATACACACACTTTTTCCTGCAGTTAGTCCCATTTCCAGGACCAGGGACTCGTTATTTCTGACTGCAGGCAAGTCGACTGAGATTTTTCATGATCTGCACAACTACGCAGACAATACCCGCTCTGCTTTGTCAACACATTTTAAAATGTAATAAACTAGTCAGTGAATGCTAATATACATGTAACTTTAAATTGTATATAATTTGGAATTAGATCTAAATGAATATAGGCACAGACATACGTAATTTGTTTCTTTACCTTTCCTTTAAATATACTTTTCCCCCTCTGCATTTTTAACTTCCATAGGGTCTGGTTTTCAGAGAGCAATCTTACAATAATCCTGTTTACAGAAATGCATGCACGTCTCACTCAAATATTATGCCCTTAACTGATTTCTCAAGTGTTTCTGGCAACATATTTTATTTCCTTCCTCTTATCGTTCTTTTTTGAAATGTTTAATATTAACATAGTTATATAAGAGTATATGCTGATGCTTGTATTCTGGTTAGTGTTATATTTCTGCAACTACTTTGAGATTTTTAAATATAAATTATGTTAAATATATTTCTTGAAGGAAATATACAAAATTCAGGTAATAAAAAAGGAATAAATAATCACATATTATTTTGCCAGTTATATACACCATAGACATATTGGTTCATAATCTTCCACATAGCATCATAGTATATTACATTTAATTTCATGGACTTTTTGTATTTTAAAAATAGATCAAACTACTTTTTCTGTGGTGTGATTTATCAATTGATAATATATATGCTAGTTGTTCTTGTGAATCAGTATGCCTAAATCATACCTTTCGATGACAGTGCAGTAGTATATTATATTGAGTATATTATAGTATATTATACTGAGGTACTATTACTCTTTCAAAAAGCAATCTCTATTTTGTGACACACAGAAGTTTGTTATTTTATTTGTTTAGAATGTTACACTGTCATAGGTAATGCTATATGAATATTTTTATTTATGTATCTGTTTAAAATTTTTATTATCATACATTATAAGTTATTCAAAACCCACCATTCTTTTCAAAGTGGTTCCAACTTATGGCAACTTAGTTTATAGTAGAGTGAATTATAATTGTTGGCACAACTGTGTCTATATTTATTGCTGTCATCTTACCTAACTTGTTAAGGGCTATCTTTTTTTGTTTGGTTGG